GATGGCATTTTAGCTAGGACTTGAAGGAAAACAAGGGTTCCAGGAGACTGAGATGAAGAGGAAGAGAATTCCAGGCATGGGGAAACAGTAAGTGACAATGTGCAGAATTGGGAGTTGGAGCGTTTTATTCAAGGAATAGCAAGGAGGCCAATATCACTAGATCACAGAATACTTGGAAGTGAGAAAGGTACCCTTACTAGAAAGGTAGGAGGAGCCAGGTTACAAAGGACTTTTAATGCCTGTGTATTGTTTATTTTATTCTGGAGGTGATAGGGAGCCACCAAATGGGGGCTGCAGGGGAAGAGTGTCATGTCAGAACTGCACTTTCGGAAGATGATTTCTGATAGCCGAGTGGAGGATGAACTGGAATGAGGAGAGATTTAAGGCAGCGAAATCAGCTCAAAGCTTACTGCAATGGTCTAGACATTAGGTGATGAAAGCCTGTACCAAAATGATGCCAGTGTCCGAGAAAAGAAAGGAACATACACAAGAGAAGGTAATGATAGGCCTTGGCAACAAATTGGATATGGAAGATGAGAAAGAGTGAGGAATTCAGAATGACAAATAGGTTTCAAGCCTGGGTGACTTGAAGAATAGTGGCCCCGTCGGTAGTAATAGGGAAATTAGGAAAAAGAGAATTTTGGGGAAAAGACTGAGTTCAGTTTTGAACATGTAGAGTTTAAGATATCTATAGGACATCTGGTTCAAGATGTCCAAAAAGCAGTTAGAAATGTGAGACTGGAGGTTAGAAGAGAGGTTAGGTCTATATAAGTAGATTGTAAGAATCATCTTGAATCCATGGGAGATGATGAGACTACCAACTGAAATAGTATAGAGGGAGAAGGGAAGAGGGTCCGGGACAAATCCCTGGTGGATACTCAACACTAGTGGATGTGCCTGGAGAAAAATCCAGCAAAGGAGGACTAGTAAGCTAGATAAGAGGAAAACCATGATGCAGTAGTGCCACAGAAACTAAAAAGAAGAGAGTATAAAGGAGAAGTGGGCCGTTAATAATGCCACAGGATGTAGAGAAGTCAAGAAAAGTGAAGATTGAAAAAAAGGCCATTAGATTTGGCAATTAAGAGATCATTAGTAACTTTGGAAAAAGCAGTTTTGGTTGAATGAAAGAGTTCAAAGCCAGACTACAGAGAGGTAAGAAGAAAGGAAATGAAGGCACTAACTGTAGATGGCCTTCTAGAAGACTTTAGCCACAAAAAGAAGAGCTATTAGACAATAGCTAGCAGAGATGAATGGATCAAGTAAGGGCTTTTTGAGGATGGGGAGGGACATGGGCCATGTTTTTAGGCAATGGAAAGTGGCCAGTAGACAGGAAGAGATTGAAGGCAAGTAAGATAATGGATGATGAAAGAGATAACATCTGGAGGAAATCAATTGGAATAGGATCACTTGTGCATGTAGAAGGGTTTTCCTTGGCAAACATCAAGGGGTGAAGGAGATAGTGGCAGAAGACACTTGAATGACATGAAATGAGGAGGAGGGGAGAAAAGAGCTCTCAGCAAATGGCCTCAATTTTTCAGTGAAATATGAAGCAAGGTTCTCAACTGAGAGAGCTATGGAAGGTTTGAGGAGGGATTAAAAAGTTGGGAAAAACTTCTAGAAGGAGTGAGATAGTGAGTTAATTAGGCAAGTATAAAAGGATTGCACAGTGAGGGACAGCTTGAGATCATGTAACAAATTTGTAGTGAATTCAATCAGCACGGTGTCATGTTCTTCAGCTTCATTGAGCAGCAAATGAGTAGAAGCAAAGGCAGTGAGGGATGGTGGAAGTTATCCAAAGCTGAGGGCTGGCAGTGCAAGGTCATCTAGAGAATCAGGGGGCAAGGGACTTGAGAGAAGACAGTGTAGAGTTGAAGTAGCTCACTGAAGGATCAAGGTAGAAAAGGAAAGAGTGTGTAGCCAGTGCAGAGGTCATGGTCTGGGAAGAACTAAGGGGTCAACTATGGAGGTCATGGTGAAGACAAAGAACAGAGTTTGGGGTACAAGGCAAAGGGAGAAGGGGAATGATGACAGGTTGTGATCAGATAAGAATACACATGGAAGTGGTGTATTTGTGAGTGATGGCAAGGTCAAGGATAGGATTATCTATATGTGTAGCTGAGGTGTGATGGAGGCTAAAGGAAATGAATAAATTGAGGAACTGAAAGATTAGGATGTTTGAGGGAATATCAATAAGTATGTTGAAGTACTCTAGTAAAAGGACAGGAGTTTGGGAGGAGAGTAAGACTATGAACCAGGCACTGAACTCATGGATGAAAAGAGGGAAATACCTCGGAGTTCTGTAGACGACAGCTACAATAATTTTGATTAGGGATTGAGTGAACCTTAAAGGAGGAGAGGTCACTAAGTATGACAGGAGAGAGCTTAGAAATGCAACTCCTTCACCTCGAACAGTGAGTTACCATGTCTCAATAAGACCCAGAAGATGGAAGGAATGGGAAACAGTAAGACGTAAGATGAAAGCAAGCTTGTTCCCTATAGAGCAGATATTCTAAAGAGCAGAGTGGAAGGGATTGGTAGCTTCAGATTGAGCCACCAGATTGAAGGGGATGGGGCTAAAGGACCAAAGTGGGCAGTAGGGGATGGAGAATGGGGTTTTAATGATGGCAGCTGGGGTTGGACGCCTTGGGATTGGAAGAATGCCCTGGTCGGTTTTTTTAATCATTGAGGAAAGAGTTCAGGTAGGTTAACATCACTAAGGTTTTGGCCTCAGGGCGGGGTCATCTCAGGACTCGGGCAGGTGACCACTTGTTGGGGGAGGATGCAACAGAGTGGCATTTCTATTTCAATATCCCCACTTAGTGGCTATGTCAGGCCACCAATAGAGGGAGCATCTACCAATAGACGGAAAGGTCAGTTTGTGAATTTGGCCCCTAAATGACCTACCTTATCTGGCAACCAGAAAAATACCGTGGTAAGGCCAGGACAGTCTTAATCTTGTCCTACCTTCTTAATTTTCTTAACAATTGGGCATTCAACAGGGAGCTTTCTTGATGGTAATAGCCCCTCTCTTCCCTTAATGTCCCTGTTATAAGCTCATTTTCAAGAAACCATTTTAGAAATAACTTGAACTAATGAGTACAAACAAAACAAAAAATATATTAGTAAGAATAATAAATCTCTTCCTTATGCTGTTTTTTAAGTCATTTCTGAAAAATGACATGGAACCAGGCAGGTCTTGATCTGTCAGGGCCAGGGCAAATCCAGGCAAGTTTTTGTCTTGAAAGATAGAAAGGGGTTTGTGTGAAGCCAGGAGATGGGAGTTACCAGGTCGCCTTGTATTTTGAGGCCAGGTAGTTCTTAGGCTAAGGAGCTATTTGTTCACGTTCCCTGTTCCTTAGAAGGTTATTCAAATCTAGTCTTCAAAAAACATAGAAATAGGCAGTTTGTTTTTGGCATCCTCCCATTTCCCATTGTAGTGCCTCTCCCCACTCCTGGAATCTCTTCCCTTAGGTATCTGTCTTACTTAAAACCCACTGAAAAATTAATGCCCCTAAAGTCAGGCTCCAGGTGATGAATTAAGGAGGTGCATAATAAATCACGGAAACATCTACTAAGGTTTGGAGTACCCAAACCAATACAGTCCCAAATCTTTTTAACTACTAAAGAGACTATCTTACATGGGTTATCCTTCCCAGGGTCTTATGCATTTGAATAAAAGGATTCTTGGAGATGAGTTCCCCAGGACTTAATTTCACACATCAGGATATGTGGATAGGGATGATATTGGAGGCGGCCAGATTCCCATGCATGCCTGAGGTCACCCATTAGAAAGCTACCCATTCCTTGCCCCACACACACGTTTGTAAGGCCAGCCCTAAAGTCCATGGACCCTTTCTCAGTTCTAGAAGATGTTGCCACTCCCATTCAGCGCCATGCTGCTTTTTGTTGTTCGGTTATGTTCAATTCTTCATGATCCCCAATTGCAATTTTCTTGGCAAAGATACTAGAATGGTTTGCCATTTCCTCCTCCAGCTTATTTTACAGATGAGGAAACTGAGGCAAACAGGGTTAAGTGATTTGCCCACAGTTAGTGGGCAGATTTGAACTCATTAAAATGTCTTCCTGATTCCAAGCCCACTGTGCCACCTAGCCTGGTGCCATATCTTATTCAAAAACTCTCATTTCACCAGGTTTTTGCTGTACAGGAAAGATTGTCTCTGCTGGGTGTCTGAATTGATCCTTGGGTGCTTGGCCTAAGGAAATTGGAGGGCAGAGATGAAGTAGAGAAACAGCTGGATCCTAGTAAAAAGAGACTTGGGCAGCAAAATGCAGGGTCAGAATGAAATAACCTCAGTGCAGAGACTTTATGGGAACAAAGGATTAATTCACAGCCATCTACCAGAATTCAAGTTAAAAAGATTGGGGTGGGGAGGGGATAGGTTGGGTTGGAAAGGGGTGGCAAGGGAATACTGTATGCATAACTAGGGGGAAAAGCTTCAGATATGACTGCCAAAGTTTCCTGTAATTTTTCACTTTGAAAGGAAAAAGTAAGTCCCTTACCAATACCCATACAACATTTCTGATTTTAGAAGGGATCTGGGTGGGGAGGAAGGGTAACAATTTTCTGATGTTGGTAAGAGCCCAAAAGGTCCATGAAAATCTCTTTTAAAATGGCACTGATGCCTCTCATTTATGGTTTCCCTTTCCCAATAAAAAGCAAGAGTGCCCTGAAGAGACTGATTACTGGGAAATGGGAATGGTTTCTCTAAAAACCACTCCAGCTCTGTGGAAGAAATGGGTTGGGGGAGGGGACGTGCCAAGGGGGTTGGGGGTGTGGACTGGGTGGGGCAGGGCAGACAGAAGGGATGGTTACGTTACAGGGAGGCTTCAATGATAAAAGGACCGACTGGTAAAAGCCTCCAGGATTGCAGTGTGATATCCTATCATCACAAGTGTAGCCAAAGGGGGTGGGGGAGAAAAACAAAACAAAACTTATCTACATGCCGAAAACATGATTGAAGCTAGCACATGCCATATGCTTGATTTCCACAAATATAGTTTTATTTATTTATTTTATGGCTCCTCTAATATCCTGATTCATCAACACTTAAGCTCCCTAGACCCCAACTCCTGCCAATACTTGGGAGCTGCCGAAATCATCAGGGCAAAGCAGGCATCTTGGACGTGGAGTACACTACAGGAAATTAACACAAATGAAACCCACTGGTGGTTCTGGGTGAAGCCAATGACCAGGCAGAAATTGCACATCCATTCTTCCTGGTCTGGTCGTTTTGCATCTACTATGGTGCCCCTTAACAGAATGCTTGTTAAGCTACTTAATAATAATAACAATAACAACAACAACAATAATAATAGCTTGCATTTACAACATTACACTTAAAGGTTTATAAAGCGCTTTACATACATTATCTCATTTGATCCTCACAACAACCCTGTGAGGTAGGCAGTGCAGGAATTTTACAGATGAGGAAACAGAGGTTTAAAGAAATTGAGGAACTCGCCATTATCACACATCTATTAAGTGACAGAGCCTAGACTTGCACATCAGTCTTCAGTCTCCAAGCCAATGGCTCTTTTCTAGATATCACTGGGTAGTAGACCACTCGAAGGCACCCAGAAGCAGATCTAGACTCAAAGCATGTTCCATTGGCAAGAACAATGCCACACTATTTACTGCTGGTGAGACTACTGTCTGGCTTTTCCATCACTGGGAAATGATCACATCCATCACTGATAATGAAGGAAAGGGGTGTGGTGGAATCAAAGCAGAGGACAGGGGAAATCCTTAAAGCCAATCTTCATTCAAAATCTGCTTCTTTTTGCACAAAGTGATGAGTCTTGCACTATCAGTCACAACTAGTGATCATTGACATTCAAGATGGAGCAGGAATGATGGAGACCATTGCACTGAGTTGTCCTCTCACTTCATTCCTTCAAAAATGAGAATCTCTCATTTTAAAATAGTTTTTTAATTATTGAATTTAAAAAAAATTTTTAAATCACTCAAGCCTCACCTTGTTTAACTCCATCACCCACCTGAGCAGTATGGCATAGTGAATATTAGAGCAGGAGCCAGGAAACACAGGTTCTAAACCCAGCTCTGCCATGTGTGGCTTTGTTAGTTCACTTTGCCTCAGTTTCTTCATCTGTAAAAATTACGGGGTTGATGATTTCTAATATCACTCCCAAGCTCTGAAATTGCATGTGTTCAATTAAAATTCAAAGAGGAGAGAAAATCAGAAATGGCCTTTCTTCTCTCCTCTCCCCCACCCCAAACTCCTACCAATACCACCCAGGGCCCAGAGAGATGGTTTTTAAGGACCTGTTCTGGCCTAACAATCTGATTCTATGATCTAGGATCAAACATCTGGTGTGAGAACAGAAAGCAGGAACTTAGGGCATATGCAATAGAGTAGGGACAGAGGAAAAACACCTGTGATCCCCAAATGGACCAGAGCAGACAAAACAGGAATCCATTTACAAGATAAGATAGGGAATGTTAATGATGACAAATCCTGTTACCTGTTATTGGATTGGGGGCCCATGGATCATTTTGAGAATCCCTTTTAAGTGTAGCATGCAATAACAGAATGGACAGATGGGACTAAAGAAGCAGAGAGAGGTTATAGATGTAAATACAAAATGAAAACATTTTTCCTACAAAAATATTTTACAAGCTAGGGAAAAAAAATGAGAGCTTGCTACATTGTACAATTAAAAAGGCAATTTCCACTGCCTATTCATATGAGAAGGGGCAGAATTTTTTTTCTTTTATAAAAAGTTTATTTTAAATCATAAAAAAATAAAGGCACAAAGGTCAATTAAGTTAGGTCTCTTTGGATGAGTAGGGGCAGAGTAGTCAAAGGCTCCCAAGAAAAAACAAACAAACAAGCATGTAGGTGTCAAAGTTATCTGCCCCACCAGTACAAGGAAACTCAAAGTATTCTTTGTAGCACGGGTAGGGTCAATGGAGCAGAAAGCCCAAGAAAACTTAAAGGCAAGGGTCCAGAAAGGCAATGGTCAAGAGTTCCTGGTCTCAGGGACGGGACTTCAGACTTCCCTCATAAAGAAGCAGGGAAGGAACCCTGTTCCTGGGCCACAGGAGCCCAAATGAATCTACCTAGAGAGAAGGCAGAGTTTGGTGTTCTGTGTCTGGAAGTTACATGCCTAAGGGGCTACTCTCGACCTGTAATTTTCTTACAGGCTTAAGGTTTAAAAAAAAAAAAGAAAGAAAAGAAAAGGAAAAAAATGAAACTAGGGCTGGGCAGTGGGGGTAGGAGGAGGTGGGGAAGGGGCAGAATTCATAGCCTCCCACGCCCTCTCAATGCCAAAGCTCAATTCAAGCCTCTGGCTAAACTGAGGGGGAGGCATCTAATCTCTTCAGTTTGGCTGCCAGAGGGAAGCCTCAGAAAGCTAATAAATACTATTTACAACAAGGAGACATTTGGGAGGTAGAACTCTAGGTATATGGATAGAGGGGAAAGGGAGAGGAAGAAACTACAAGCAACAAGAACAGACAAGGAGGTCTGGAGTAGGAAAGCCTCATTCCCTCAGGTAGTATACCTGTAGCCTTGAGAAGAGGATGGTGGTAATGGGGAACCCAAGTGGTGAAAACATAAAGAGAGTAGGTTGGAAAGATGGATGTCGATGTGTTTTCCTGTCAGTTTTCTTAAAAACTGTAGAGGCTTCACCCTGGTGACCTCAATGACCTCTCACCCACCCACTCCAAGGCTAAACACCTGCACAAGCCAGAGAGGTAGTGGTCAGCCACTTCCCATAAAGAGACTTCTGGGGTTCTCTTTGATGAGACTGGGGACCCTACTCAAAGAGACTTGTCTTTTCCTCTAACATTGGTCTTGTCACAATGCTGAGGGCTAGGGTACAACTTCTTGGCACAATTGTTAGAAAGAGGCCTGTGATCTACTCCCTGACCCTAATGCTAAAATAATTTTCAGTGGCAAGGAAGGAAAGAGAAACACAAGGAAGGAAAAAAGGAATGGCATTTGAGAAGGAGATCAAGATCCCTCAGTAGATATGCTGAATTCCCAGCCTCTCTTCTCAGCCCAAACTAATGTTCTACAGTGCTTTGCTTAACATTGGGTGGATTCGGTTTAATGAGAAAGGTAATGGGAGTGCAGGAGGAGGTGAGGAAGAAGGGGAGATGAAGTAACTCTTTAAAAAGTAGCATTGACTCTTCTATCAATTTCGATGACTTTGAGTGTTTCATTTGCCTCCAGTTTGGAGCTGACCCTGCAAGGGAAAAAAAAATATTAGTCATCACTTAATAACTACAGCTATAATACCCTCCCCTGCCCTCTATTACTCAAAGTTTGGCCATCTAGTTTTTGCCTTGCCAGGCAAGGCAGCATTTGTAATGGATAGAGCATTGGGCTTAGAGTCAGGAAGACCTAGGTTCAAACACTACCTCAGAAACTTACTAGTTTCAACTTCTGTGCCTTAATTTCCTCATCTGTCAAACGAAAGGAGGGACCAGATGGCCTCTAAGATCCATTCGAGCTCTACATCAACGGTCCTATCATCCTAGGCCACTCAATGTCCTTGAATTTGTTTCCTCCTGGATGGCCTCTGTGGTCAACTCGAGATCCAGTGCCCAAGGTTACACAACTAATAAGTTTCTGGGGCAGATCCACAAATAAATGTACCTGGATTCAAACCCTTAAGTGAAGATCATTGAAAAGAGAAATATTTGGGTGGGAGAGAAGACAGATGGAGGGAGCTAGGTGGAGTAGAGTGTTTATGTGGGTGAATGGAACATTAGTGAATAGTGGGAAAAGCCTCAAACCCGGCACTAGCTGTGTGACGTTAGCTATGTCCTTAAATTTCTCTCGGTTACAATTTTTTCATCTGTAAAACGGGAATAAAATTCCTGCCTTGCTTACCCCACAAGGTTGTTGTGAGGGCCAAATAAATAATGTGCCTACAAAAGTGCTCTGAAACCTATAAATCTGCACGTAGTTAATTTTCATTACTAGCTAAGACAGAGTAAGACAGTGGTGCCCAGGGTCACATGGGTAAAAACTGGTAAAGGTGGGGTTTGGACATAGTTTCTCTGACTCCAGAGCTAATGCTCTTCCCACTGTCCTACTCACAATAAACCTGTGGGGTAAGCTAGTCAAAGAGCATGAACTTGAGCCCAGTTCTTGCTGATCCAAAACCAGTGCCTTTTTCCCCACTGTGTAAATATTCTCTCTCCTCTTTTCCCTCCACTGTCTGTTTTTCTCTCTTTCCTCTCCTCCCCTTTTCCTCCTCCTTTCTCTCTCTCTCTCTCCCATGTTTTCATTCCTCATTTCATTTCTCATTCATTCCTCATTTTCTCTATTATTATTATTATTGCATAGAATAATGAAAGTTTTCCACATAGTCTTTTTTGATTGTTATTGCAACTTGTATTAATTGCTTTAAAAACCACCAGCAAGTAAAGGGTCTTGAACATTTGTTTTAATAGATGAGTCATATGAAATTAGCAGCATCCATAGTATCCATTTGCTTTTCTCATAGACAGCAAAAAGGTGAATTTCAGCTTAGGCCAAACCAAATTCCGGTGTAATATCACATAAAAAGAGTCAACCTTCTGAGGTTTAAAAAAAAAAAACACCCTAAAACTTCTTAAACTGGAGGTTGACCTATGCTGGGTATGTGGGCAGCTGAGTTCTCCATGTTCCAGCTCCCCACTGTTACTTAAGTAGCTACTAATGTGTAGGGCTTATTGCAGTCCTTGCTCCGATATCCAACTCAGAGCAGCAGCTAACAGGCAGCAGAGATCCCTACAGCCCCTTTTTCTGGCGTCACTAAGCAGGAATGGAGGCTAGGGCCAACTGGCTACTAATGGGTTATGATTGCCCGAGCCTCCATTCCTGCTCAGTGATACCAGAAAAGGGCATCTAGTCTAGTCACTAAACTAAGCTCTCAGGGTCATCCGAAGTTACACAACTGTCTTCAGCTAGGTTCCAATAGGTAGTCTGGCAAACCCCAAAGCAGAGAAAAATATCCCTGATTCCATTCCACTCACCTGTGCTGCCCAAGTTCCAATAGCACTGCCTTTTCTAACCTCGTCTCATTTGATATCCTGAACTGAGCAACGCCAGCTTCTTCAGCCCTGGGTCTTGGCTCCAACCTGGACATGCCAAGGATTGGGGGCCCTCTTTCTCTGTCTTCAGTGTCCTCTCGATGCCCAGGTAAGCCTAGGCTCTGAGACTCCTCCAGTGGAGGGGGTTCTTCATAGATCAGCAGACTCCGGGATCTCACTGAGGACAGAATAAGCAAACAGAGGCAAGAAATGATCAAGTACACCGTAACCAAGGTCAGTCTCATAATGCAGGCCTCTACAAGCAGTACAGAGCTTTGGGGGCTGAATGCTCTCACCTCTTTCAAATAACAACTACTTCTATTCAAGGCAGACCCTGAAAGGCTAAATGTCTGAGGGAGAGAGGGAGGAAGGGAGGGAGGGGGAGAGAGGGAGAGGGAGGGAGAGGGAGGGGGAGAGGGAGAGAGAGAGAGAGAGCGCACAGGAACTGAAGCTGGATTTCCATGATGATTTCCATGTTTTCTACATTTAAAAACGATACTGTACTGAAAGGAACAATACAAAAGCATATCAACACAGGGAAATGTCACCCCTGCTGCCTTGATATCATATCTCCAACCCCTCAACTTTCACCTTATCCTTACCTCTGAGGAGCAATATGTACATGGTGGTGACTAGCTAGGGATTTGGGAAAGCCCAAACCCAGAGAGGACCAGGGCACCTCCATTCTATACTTCAAAGAGGAAAACAGGGTATAAAGACGACAAGAGAGTTACCATGGCCACCTCCATTCTCCACACATAAGTCACAGTTCAAGCATCCACCACTTCTAATTGAATAATAGTATTGCCCTAACATATATCTGATTTTTCCTGTTAACTTCCCTTACAATTTACAGCTATATTCCCAAAGTTAGTAGGTGGAAGGAGAAGTGGTGGGCATTTCCCAACAGACCTCTTAAAATGTGCTGCTAA